CCCCCCCCCCCACCCTTCCCTCAAAAACCCCAACTCCCTCTTGTAGATTTAAGTGCAAAATAAAAAACAACTCCTTTTTTTTACAAGTGGGTTCAAAAAAAACCCAAACCCCCCTCCCCTCCCCCTTCTAACCCCCCCCCCCCCCCCACCCTTCTCTCAACAACACTGACTGACTGTATGAGAATTGAATAGACAATATGAAAACATCTCCTATTTTTTCCCAAATTTGGTAACAAAAAAATTGTCATTTCAGATGAGTCAGGAACTATATGAGAAGCTATTTGACTGACTTCATGAATCGTTCGTCTCGCACACGCCCACACAACACATGAATGAAAAGCTTATCAGAAAACATTTTCAAATTTCTGCTTATCGCATTGGTCATGCGTTTGTTTGAATTTTGTTCAAATTAACCTTTGTCTTGTTATCTCTAAATCAATATTTTTGTGTAATTTGAATAATCATTTGTAAAGAAGCTTTGTCTCACGTGTAACGCTCTCTCTCACGCACCCAACATACACATCTCACATAGACAGACTCCGCCACATACAACCGTTCAGTTCAATGCAATGTTCATAAAATGATTATTGATCGATGCAATCACGTAGACGACGTCATAAAAATCGGAATATTCAAAAGCGACAAGTATTAGTTCAAAGGAGGTCGATTGATTACTATATGACCCTCTTAACTATTACTTTCGAAATAATAATACTTGTTCATACAAACATGCATGCATCCATTCTTATCAACCTTTTTCATTTGACATTAAAAAGGTCAATTTTATTCGTCCTCCTCTCTACTCTCACTCTCTTCCTCCCTTTCCTGCCTATTATGGACAATAGCTTGCTTAGCACTAGTCAGCTGTGGCTATTATTGACGGTGCAAAAGATTTCCTTTCTCAATTCTGTCAGGTTTACTTATGCAAAAATCTGTTCTCCCCCCTCTCTCTCTCTTCCTCTTAACTCTATTCTCTTTCATTTGCTCTCTCTACCTTTCTCTCTTAATCTCTATCCACACAATTATGTTTCTTCAATTTTTGTATATAATCTAGGAGGTTGGTACGTTCGTCTGACCTCTGTCGATCTGCCAATAAAGCAATTCTCTCTCTCTCTCGTTCTCTCTTCCTTTCTCTCTCTATCTCTCTCTCTCTTATTCTTCTCTCCACAACCATATATGGTCAGGTCATCTTATAGTATTCACTAACCATATGACTAATCAATAGCTGATATATCTAGTTATGTCTTGCCGATTTACCGCATAATACAATCCACTCTCCACCCCTTTCTCCTCTTCTTCCTTCCACCCAAATGTCTCAAAGTTAATCGATTAGTCTCTTTTTTCTTTTATTTTCCAGTTTTTATTGTTTGAAAAAAAAAAAAAAGCTTTTCCAACCAGATGATATCGTCTTGTTGCGTCTTGATTCTCATTGCCCCATCTCTTGCGTTTCCATTCATTCATTCATTTACTGTTTGTTCAAAAAGTAATGAAATGTTTTGTTTTCTCTCAATGTGTTTATGAACAGAAATTATTCACCGTCAACTACAATATCGCCTCAGGCATGGAGAGATAGATAGATGTGTGTGTGTGTGTGTGTGTGTCAGCAATGTCTTTTTTGATTCATATATTTCCTTATCTTGATGAAAATCGTTCTGTTGGATAACCTGCTATACAACAAGCTTTTCATAGACATTAGTTTCCACCTCATTCCTCACTCTCTTTCCATCTTGGTTTACTTTCTGAATATGCCATCTCTCTCTCTCTCTCTATCTCCAGCTCTCTCTCTCTCTATCCCTTCTAATAGTTTTTTTCCCTTCCTATATGTGTGTCCTCTGTTTGTTTCCATTTCATCCATGCCTTATTTGCATATTGAATAATTCAAAATTTGTTTAAAATTACTTCTTTCTTTGTAACAAAATCTTTATTCATTCTCTCCACCTCCTCCTCCTCCTCCGTCAATCCTTCTTCCTCTTTTCTCGATTTTTCCATTTCACACATAAAGCTTTACCTTCACAACCGCTCTTTGTCTCTTCTCCACATTATATAAATTGATTGATTTATTCTAATTTTATCAAAGTATCCACTTGATGTAGTCACTACATCAATGCTATCGTTCTCTTCATCATTCTCCTCCTCATCATCGCTCATACCACCACCACCATCACCACCACTAGCATCATACGAGCATCACCAACTAGCAGCAACATCATCTATCGGCATTATATTTGTTTTATTCACAAAGAATTCTTTTTTTTTACCATTCATTCAAAGTGTTGAAAAAGGAAGAAGAATTTCAATTGCCTGTAAATTATATAGAATGACCTCTTTTAACCAGTTGACTTTGGTCTTTCCCTCGCTAGTCAGCAATCTCGCTCATTCATTCTCTCTCTTCCTCTCCCCTCTCTCTCTCTCTCTATCTCACTATTAGTCAAGTTGCCAAAGAACTTTTCGGTTTCTCTTTCGTTCATTCTTTTTGTTAATAATTGTTTCGTCTAAATCCTGCAATTAAGAGATTTCTAGTTGAACATCAGTTTTTTTGTTGCAAAAAGAAGTTGTCATCTTTGCTTACTCCTTCTCTCAAGAACACAACCGTTCATCTGTCGTATAACATCTACGAAATGACGGGAACGATGTTGCACGTGGATACGTGGGAGTTTCTATCTGATTTGCATAAACAATCAATCTGATAATGAAACATTCTATGACAAGTTTTTGAACGGATCATTAACTTGTCTGAGATTTCGTAGAGGCTCCGCCTCCTTGTGAAGCGACTCAAACCTCGATGAGGAAAGGAGTAGTGAGAGAGAGAGAGGAAGAAGAAGTTTCTTTTTTTTATTTTTTCTCTGTTAATTCTCAGAACTGAATATTCAGATGACAGAAAAATGAAGAGAAAAGAATAAAAAAAGATATTTTAATAGAATTTTAAATGTCGTTGATCGGTGTGTTTGATGTTCAATGTATTCGCTTGCCAGACTTCTTGATGGCTCTCTATATGGCCACGCCTTTATTCAAATATTTCTCTTTTTTTATTTATTTTTTCTATGTTCTAAATGAAAAAGCAAAATGATTTGTATTTTTCATCGTTCAGCTTCATCATAATGAAGATTCGTTATTGACATTTCGCTATTGTTCTCTTCTTGCTTGTCCATTCGTTTTCATTTCAATTGATTGATCTCAATTATCTCTCATATGAAAATTAACTTTTTTGAGTTCAAAAAGAGCTTTTGCTCTTCAGCTTTCACTTGTCATTTGATATGCGACACACACCCAAACACACATACATCCATACACATACACACCTGCTATCTTGAGTTGACTGAAGAATCAGTTTGTTACTTATCCGTTCACCTTTCCATCTCTTTCCATATGCTCTCTACAATCTGTATCATCTCTAGTTTCAGTTGTTTTTTTACTCGATTTCTGCCCTCTCTGAATAATACATCATATCTCATCCTGTTAAGGAAAGTATAGAGAGAGAGAGAGAGACAGGATGTTATGTTGTAACTTAACTCAAAAATATTATTTTGTTAACTTTGTAATGTTTTTTTCTTATTTTTCGTTTCATCCTCATTACATGTTATTATGGTTAACTAAACAACGTAAGCAATTCATATTCCAGATCAGATATGAATAATTTAATTTCTTGTGAACCAGAAAAGAACATACACAAGTTAATGTACGCTCAAATATTTGCTGAATATGGTCAAAGTGTTGTTCTACGTCGATTTGGAGTATCATCTCTTGGACAGCCATTTTGCATTTTTACACGAAAACGTCTACTAGGCGGCTATGTGGTAAGTATGAAGAGGAAGAGAGAGAGAGAGAGAGGAAGCTCATTGGAATTGTTGAACAGATTGATAACCTGATATTTGATTTCCAGACGGAGATGATCACAGCAAATCCACGTAATCGGCCGTTTATATCTTTGCCATTCAAGGTAAGACCTCTTGTGGTAATGTGACATGAGCATGTGTGTGTGGAATTTTTAAGATTTCTGGTGTTCAAATATTAGAAGAAGCCCAACTTTTCGTTCAAAGCGTTCTGAATACATTGAATAAGTTACGGAAGTTTTCATTAGGATCTCAGCCAACCGGATGGTGCATACCAGTAGGAAAGGATATGATGCAGGTAGATATCGTGTTACTGATATGTGATATGAATTGAGCGTTGAACATTTTCAGTTTGACTTACTTGATGAGGAAGTACATAAGTATCCTTCAAAATTTCTTGAAATAGGTATGTATTGCGTATATATTGTGTAATAGCAGCTTCTATGTTATGTTTGAAGGTGATGAGCTGTTTGTGGAATGCATGCTGTCAGGAATTACATTTTATCATTCGGGTATCTATGCTGGCGCCGGAAATGTTTACCATTTCATGAGTAACAACCGTAAGTTGATTACAATCTCATAATTTTTGGTAAAATTGAAAAATGCCTTTTGTAGAAGAAATAGATTCAACCATCGTCTCATGTCTATCAACATTCGCTCGGTCCCCCGCATCTGTATTATGTGACGCGTTTTATGATTTCGTACATGCTTTAGTGGAAACGAATAATGGTTTCAAGTTTCTATATTTAATATAATTTATAATATTCTGCTTAGGTTCTGGTCCAAGAGTTTTTCGTGTAACGCATCCATTCAAGTGTCGTTCAAGCGATGAAATAGTTGAAGAATGTGAACGATTAGCTGGAGTATGTTCATATTTATATCATATATCTAACTCATATGCACACATCATTAAGGAATGGGATTGGTATGATATCAGAAATCGTAATTGTCAACACTTTTCATCATTTTGCTCAACTGGAACAATGATATCATATGATATGGAAAATAATTTAAAATACTTAGCTTGTACATTACTTAGACCATCAGGACGATTTCTTGCTCAAAAGATTCATAACTTATAACACATGTTGCTACTATCTCCTACACTTTTCCAATTATGGGTTTTGTTAATAATTTCGTTTGTTGTTCTTCATTTCATTTGATCTCTCTCTCTCTCTCTCTCTCTCTCTCTCTCTCTCTCTCCCTCCTTTTTTCTTTT